AAAGTCTGAGCACAAAGTCTTAAATTCCGCGCTCCTGTCGAAGGTCTACGGTATGCCAAAAACCAAAAAAACCAACAAAAACCAAAAAAAACAACAACAAAAAAAATCAAAAAAGAAATCAGAGACTCCTCAAGGAGGAGCCGGCGCCTCGGAGATTCCCGAATTTTTTTTTGGTTTTTGTATTGTGTTTTTTCCGTTGTTTTTTTGTTTTTTTCTTTGCTTTAAATAGCGCAAGTACCAAAGAGGACATCGGGAGACCGTGTGCGAGTGCAATTTTTGCACTAAATCAAAAAAAGATTATATTAAATTCGCTAGAAAATGTGGAAAATGCGCACTCTCACGGTGACTCGTTTTGTAAATAAAAGGCATACAGGACATATCATATATGGGGGATAGAGCATACCTTATAGAATGCCATGAAAATGGCTTCAGACACCATTTCAACACACCAAACGTGGGTACATGGGGGGGGTAGCATATATATATATACATTTGTGTGTGTATATATGTATCCCATTGTGCCCTCCTAGCCACCCCCCCCAGTAAGAGGAGTTCTGGGAGAAAAAGCCGCTGCACTTTCGAGCTGCGGAGCGCGGGCGGAGCCGCCGCCCTAGAGAGTCACACGGGCTATATAGGGGTGTAGGGTTTTTTTGCTATGGCGGCGCAGGAGTGCGCTTTGGTGCCTGCCGCAATCAGGTTTCGGCAGTTGCATGGGGGTGTAGGGTTTAGGGGTTCAGGGGGTAAGGGTTTAGGGGTTCAGGGTTTAGGGATTAGGGTTTCGGGTTTAGGGCTTATACTATATTACAGGGTTTGGCGTGTGGTAAAACTAAAGACTTGTAGGGGACAAATTGGATTAAGGGGACATGTAGGAAGATATACTCCTATTTCCAACGAGCGTGCTCAAGCGTTAATCTCAAAACCTACAGCTACAAACCTTAGGCCCTAAGCCTAAACCGTACCCCAGATCCTACACCCCAACACCTTAAAGCCCTAAACCCTACGCCCTTCAATACAAGCAAATTCTCAAAACGTTCCAAAGCCCTCCAAACCCAAACCCCTGAATCCGAAACCGTAAACCAAGATGCGAATCTGCTTCCGGAAGCGCTTCTGCCCGACGAAGTCGCGACTGCTGTCTGCAGCTCGGAAGGCCCCGGGGATTTTCCAGAGGATGTAGGACTTGGGGTCTAGGGATTAGGCGAGCTTGTTTGGGGATTGCAAGGAAGGGGCCTTGTTGATTTGAATAGAGATTGCGGTCCATCTCGCTTTTGGGGGGTAGAAGGGAATAGTACTGTCAATTCCAAAGGTTTCTGCAGAACAGTAAAGGCCCAGAAGTGGGATCTTAACCATAAACCCTAAACCCTAGAGCCTAGAGCTTAATTAAACCCTAAACCCTAACCTTAAGAACTCAAACCCTAAACCTTAAACCCTAAACCTAGGGAGGGTGATAATCTATAGATTGGCCTCCCGAACTAGTTATAAGTTCTGGGGCTTGATCAGCGGAGTATAGAAAGAAGCAACAAGCTAGAACAGGTTTGGTGTAGCGCTTGAAGCTATACCCTAAACTTTAAACCCTAACCTTGAACTCTCAACCCTAAATCCAAAATCCGAAGGCCTCAACCCCAAAAAGGGCTAGGAACTTAGGGGAGCTTGTCTGTCCATAGCGTTAACTCTGTTTGCTGCTCCGATTTCTTGAGTCCTTGATTGCTACCCATTTTCGCAGACATGTTGCACTGGGTAGGCCCCTGGAACCTTGAATGTTTTCCTTACTGGGCGTTCGTAGGGTACCCTATACACGAACATTTTTCCAAGGGTTTTAGGGGCCAACCCATTGCAAGAGACCAAGTCTCTTCCTACCATTGCTGGTCAAGGCATTGGGAAAGTTGTTGTGTTCAGTACGGCGACTAAACAAAGCCAGGATCATGAGGGTTATGCTAAGAATAATGTGAGCCAGTGATCGTTTGAGTTTTTTTTTTTTGCCGGTCGATCTCATGTAGACCCGTGATTAATTACCTCCCCTGCTTTTAAGGGCCTTAACATAAGGATCCCTATTATAATCCCTATTGAGCAGGTGGGTTTATTAATAAGGGGTCTACATTAGCCAGCATTTTCAGGAAGCTGCCTTCCGTAGTTTTGAGTTGCTCAAAACTTGAACCCTGGACCTTGAAGACACTTCCCAGTCGGAATGAATGTTGCCAAAGCGTAGAACATGCCCCCTGGGGCTTAGTAGAAAATGCAGGAGTGTTTTGGGGGTTGTAGGGGAGAATACGGGGACGACCATAAGGATCCATTCCCCCATTCCTCACCCTAAGCCTGAAAGCCAACAATCTTATGCGGTGGTTTGCAAGGTGTTTTTCTTATTCCCTCATGTCGCTCCCAGTGTGCATTCTTAAGCTTTGGTTTTGTCAGCTTGATCGGAATAACCCAAATAAGAAGGACCCTAGACTCCAGACCTTGGTGCCTGTACCTTTCTCTCCAAACTCGAACCGAGAAGCATCCGCAAACCCTACGTAAATTCAAAATTTTGGGCCACAGTTACAATCCGAGCTTTGGAGCCCCAACAACCTCTTATACCGAAGCATACTCCAATCTCTACATGTCTCAGGTTGATCAGTCTCTTTATTTTCAGCAACAATTGTAGCAAGCCCATGCACCGCTGAAAGGAGAAATCTCAAGATGATACAGCCCCCCCAGACCCCAAACCCCAACCCGAATCCCTAAACCCTAAACCCTTAAAAGGGAGCAACCTCAAGATGTTCAAGAACAACGAGTCCAGCGACTTGCCAAGCCCTTGTCCGGAGCTGAGCCTATCACACGCTGCAGGAGCTTTGAGTTTACAGGGCATTGTAAGTCCCTGGGGCTCATATAGGTGAATAAATAGGGGACTACTATAGGGGTTACTACACTAGGGGTTCTATAGGGATAATGGAAAATAAAATGGAAATTACTATGAATGGGTTTATAAATAATGCCTACATTGGGCCCCAATGTCTATAAATAGTACCTACATTGGGCTATTTGGAGCCCTAGGGAGTAAATTCCAGGGCTAATAGGAGGGCCTTGATAGGATTTGTAAGGTTTTAGGGCAAGGTTAGGCTCTCACATACGCCCTATCATGGATTTTTGTTCATAAGCTCGTAAGGTTTAAGCTTTACGGGATGTTTAGGGTGTGGCGTCTCAGGTTTCGGTGTGTTGGGTGCATTTTTCAACGGAGGAGGGGGTTATGCATTCCCAAGATCAGGGTTTGGGCTTTGCTGCGTGCAAGACTGCTGTTAATCATCCTGGCAAGAGCTCTATGCTGCCCAATGCTGGCCAGTGAAGTTGGCTGGTAAATGGCATGGTGAGTTTTGGGGAGACAGCTTTAGATGTTAGGGCGGCAAGGGTTCGGCACTGCACTGAAGAGCAGGGCCGGTGAAGTTGCTTGTGATGGAGCCTGTTTTAGTTGTTCGACGGTTGGGTAGCTTGCTTTGAGTTACTATGCAAGCTGGCTCAGGCCGTGCAAACGTCGCTTGAATGTGCGATTCACTGCCATGCTTCGGCAGACATTGCAGATGGCATGCGTGGCGATCAGTTCTAGCTCTCTAGTGGACGCAGGCCTGTCGATAAGTTTTGCGCAGAAGGTGGGGCATGAGGATCATCTTTCGTGCAGTTTCTTGGCCAGCCCCTCCACTCGGAAGGCCGCCTCAGTTGCGAACTTCACGCTCATGTGTCTTCGGAGTTGGCGATTTCCAGCTCCATCAGAGCAATTGTGACATCTTGGAGTTGACGTTCTCTTCCCAAGACTCGCTGCATACTATTGCTCGAAAAAACGCGCAGCTTCGTCTTCTTCTTAAAGCAACCCAGTGGCCCAGGTTGACGCATTTCAAATTGGGGGATACGCTGTACAGGTTGCTGCTGCTGTCGGCTGGCAGACAGGAGGTGCAAGGCAACCGCACTTTCAGCACACCCACGCTTCGTTACCTTGCTGGCTTCTTTGATGGTGATGGGCATGTCGGTAGTGCATCGGATTCGCGTGGCGCGTTTTTAGAGGTCTCACAGTCTTTCGACAAGTCTGCAATTCTAATGCGTTTTCGCGAGACGTTCGGTGGCAGCATCAAACTTTCAGCACAGGGGCTCGGCTTACGAAAGCCAATGCTTGCCTGGTGCATACATGGCACGGCAGCACGCAGCGCAGCTCAGTGCCTGGCAGTGCACAGCATAGGCAAGGGAAAACAACTCGATCTGGCGGGTGCTTGGCCAACGGAGAAGTCCCGCCGGGCGGACTTTAAGGCACAGTTGCACAAGCTCAAGCAGCATGATTCAGCGCTGGTCAGGAGATGCAGTTGGGAATACTGTGCAGGGCTATTTGATGCCGACGGCCATATTCGGCAAAACTTAGATACGACAAGCTTTGACCTGCACCTTCACCAAAAGTTTGACACAATCTTGCAGTGCGTTCAGTCTTTCTTGGGAAGCAGCCTAGGCCTGGATGCAAGCTTGCGAAAATCAGACAAGCAACAAATATTTTCGCTGTCCATATTCGGCAGAAGCAATTGCAGACAGGTCTTAGGAGCAATGCTGCATGCAGGACTGCTTGGCAAAGCAGACCAGGCAAGGCTGGCCATTGGGCTAACGCGGGAGAATGCCACACAGGTGCGGGAACAGCTTGGAAAGATGACAGGGAACCAGCGGTTTGGAAAGAGACTGGATGAGGCCGGGCTGCAGAGGGCGCAGAGGATCCAAGCTCTGCAGAAGCAAGCTGCCAATTGGAAGCGCAAAGGAAAGCCACATGATGCAGAGGCCATTCTTGTGCAGGTCGAGGTACTGAAGAGTCAGCACCAGCTGCTGAACGCACGACATGAGAACTGGCAATTGCTTTGGTACTATGAGATGATCAAAGGACTGCACAAAATGCATATGTCTGCGCGCATTCACGCATACAAAGTTCACATGTCGAGGGATGGCTGCCAAGTTGCATTGTCAAAATGTAAGGCAACGAGTATATGCAGGGTTTGGTGTTTACTCAGGGACTCCAGAACAACTTAGAGCGACCATTCAGCTGCACAGTTCGCAGACAGCTGATGTCTTCTTTCGAAAGTATACGCACTGCACCGAGAGCATCCCAGAGCCCAAAAGTCAGAAGTATCCAAGCCTTAATCCTGAACCTCTCAAGCGCCTGAGGGGATAATGCTGAGCCCGAAGCTCTTAAAGGGATCCTTGTGCGGGTCCGTTGACTTGGAGCAGCCAAGGGCATTCATACCTGGCCGGCTATTCCATGGTGATCAACCAGGCTTTAGCTGCATACTTGCTGGGCCCTTGATTCGGTGATAAAAACGAATAACATTGTAGCGATCTTGGGCCAGTCGTGTAGGAGTTGCCCAGAATCAGAATTCTTGGCATCGATTTTGGGGATGGTTACGAGAAGGGCTCTCTGCTTTTATTGTTGACGCGCTGGTGATCAAATTGTAGGAATTGTTCGGGATTGAGGTCTGCCCTTCACTCCAAACCTCAACCCCTAAACTGCCTGAACCCGATACAGTGTGCGTTGAGAATTTGAGTTTTTACGCCTGCAGTTCAATTTTAATCTTGAGGACTGGGTGTTCATACAGGTCATGGGGTCGGTCTTATCAGGTATGCCATACATGCTTCGAAGGAGGTCCATGAGGCTGTCTGATTTTTGGTGGTCGTTCTCTGAGGCATGGGGCGAAATTCAAACTTAATGTACCTGTTGGTTCTGACACTGTTCTGACACTGTTAGGCCCGACCATTTTGAACGTGCACAAGTTTTGAGTTTCCAAAGTTCGGGGGTTGGAGATACATAGGCTTTCAGAAATTGGCTGGGTCTCCATGGAAAGCATTTCTGTACTGTCCCTGGCAGCAGGCATAGTTGTGCAAGACAGCCCGAGCAATTGAGAAGACGTAGTGAATGCAATGGACACCCGTAGTTGAAGCTGCTGCTGTGATTCTCTGTAGTGACCGTCGATAGTGCTAGTTTCGGATTGTTTAGATATGGTGTCATGCTGGTTTTTGTCCACCGTCAGTCCTCTGGCCACAGTGGGTATTGAGGCTTTCTATTTCTGAAGCTTCAAAGCCATAAGTAGAGATCCCAATCACGATGCCCAGCAAGCTTCTTCACCACCACACGTTCAGGGTTCAGGGCCAACACTTGCCAGCCTGATGTTCTGAAGTGGCACGTGCCTTGGCCGTGATGGCCCAATCCCGAAAGCTACTCTATGCCCTCAGGCTGGCCCAAATAGAACTGTAGGAGATTGGGGCCGTAGCCAACCTAAACTCGACCTGGGTAGCCCAGCATCAAGATACGAAAGGGTTGTTCCTGAACAACCGCCTTTTGAAGATTAGGGTACTTACTCAGAAGTGGCTGTTTGGGAACCAACCATTCAAGTTCGAGTTGTTTGGCTACCCAGGTAGACCCTAAACCTACAACACGCCATGTAGTGAAGTCATGGGGTTCCAGTTATAGTCCCGCAAGCTACTAGGTACTCCATGTAGGGTTTAGGGTTTCGGGCTCTTGCTTCGTGTCTGGGATGAAGTGGGAGTTCCTCAACATCATCCCTTTTGAATCTTGAAGGGGGCCCTATAAATGGTTGAAAATCCTTATGCTATACGGGAGTGTCTGAAATCATTTCTACTGATCCTTAATCCATACATATATCTCTAGTACCAAGCTTTGGGTGGGACTCTTGCGGGAGTGCGAAATACCAGGCGGACCGCCACAGCAAGGTTCTCTACGACCTGTGCAAAGGCTTCTGCTTCCTGCACTGCTAGTGCGACTCGTTTGGTGTTTTGTTTCGAGGGAAGTAAGAGGTACTACTGACTACCCGGACCCCTGCAAGGATCTAGAGCAAAGCCCCCAACATGGTACCCTGTACTTCCCATTGGGTAATTTTTCAGAGCCCTGAAGGGGGTCTACTTTCTAGATCCTTCCAGGGGTCTGGGTAGACGGCTAGAATGCAGATTGGGCTCTTGCATGCCATAGCTTTAGATGAAGCTCCTAAGTTGCCGACACATGTAGAGCGCAGAACAAAATGTCATGAGTTCCCTTATCACCTGGTTCTGGGCTAGGGGTTTGAGCTTGGGGTTTAAGGAGTCTAGTTAGGGATCACGGGAAACGGGTTCCCTCCCTAACTGCCTCGCCCCCAAGTTCTCCCGCAATTAGGCAAAGTTGAGACTACTGAAGGTTAACTATAAGGGGAACTTTAGCGTGGAGCATTGGGGGGTGGCTATGAGAACCCGCAGCATTGGTTGCTCAAGCACAGGGGCTTCCTTGCTCTACAGGTTCTTCAGCAGGATCACCTCATGTTCCTGGTCCTCCATCCACCCCGGTATACAACATCCCATGTTTGTTTGGGTGTCTTTTAATGTTTCAGATACGTTCTGTCGACAATAGTTTCTGGCAGAGACCCATCTTGGCCACATGCGGGAGTTTCTTCAAATGGGATGCCTGCTCAAGTAGCACAGCCCCCACACATGAACCTTCCAAAGGGACACACAACTTGCGAGACCCTAGGCCCTGTAGCCCAAAACCTTCGCCCAAAAACTTTATAGAACCACATATTCGGCCCTGTATATCGTCATATCAGATTTCCGTAGTTTGACCTGACCGCCTCCACTATCCCATACACATACTCTCAAACCCTTACCGCATGCTGTTTTGTACATTCTTGCAGGCCTCTCTGCGCGTCACTTTCACCATGTGTTCGCAGTGGTTTACCTGACACCTCCTGACTCTCAGGCGCTTTGGGGTTTTTGGGTAGGCTCTAGGCTCAGGATTGCGGTAATGATCAATTAAAGCCTTAAGCCAGTGGAGTCAGAACGCATGGCAGAGCTTGTAAGGACTCGGCCATGGAGACTGTGCCTAGGTTTTCTTGGGAGATGCCACCAAGATTGTGTATGGATCATTCAGGCACTGTCGGCTTTTGTAGGGTTTTGGTTGGACTCGGGATTTGTTTCGAGGAGTACTTATATTAAGGAAGGTATTGTTGTGGCCCATCACCTAGCTTGAGACAGCTGTGTGGGTTGTGGTAGGTCTGATGGAGAGCGTCTTTAGTAGGTTTCCACGACCTCTTCGCATGAGACTGACCTCTAAACCCTCGACTTGACTCCAAAAAGTGTCTCAGGGGCCCAATGTGAAGTAAGGTGGCTCAGAAAGCCAATTCCCACCTGGGGTCCTGCGTTTTAAGTCCTAAGCAATAAAGAACTGATAATGCTGCCCTAGGCAGATTACCGCTATAATTGGGAATCCGATGGAAAAAAGAATGCAAAATTACATGGAAACTGGGTGTATGTAGGTGTATATATATATACACAATATATACACATACGTATATACATACGTATATACACCCATACAGCAAGTATTCGAAACGACTGCCTTTGTGCCAGGCTGTGCGAGTTCATACAGACGACCAGGATGCTTGGAAGCAAGGGAGTGCCGGGTTACCTCGCCTGAGGGCCTTGGGGTTTAGGGTTTAAGGGTTTAGTGGCCGAGTTTTAGGGTTTGGGGTTTTGGTGTTTGGGATCTTGAGTTTTGGGATTTGGGGTTGTGCAGTTCTGGGATTCAGGCTTTGGGGGTCTTGGATTTTAGGGTTTGGGTCCTGGGCCAGGGGCTTTGGATTTGGGGATTTACGGTAGGTCCGGGTTTGCAGCATTGAGATGTGTGTCCGCCCTAAGTCCCAGACCCTACCACCCCTTGTGTCTCTCTTCTCATTGCATGCGATTCTGAAGCTGTAAGTCTTTTCCCCGGTTTCTTGACTTGGAATCTCCCAAGATTAGACGTTTCCATAGCTCACCTTTGTTGAGATGCCTACTCCAACTCCATCAGCATGAGTCCAAACACACGCGGAAACCATCCTTGAAAAGAAACCGGGATACCGGTTTAAGGGTTTGGAGGTTTAGGGCTTAGTCCGTTCAGAACCCCCTAATTTATTATGTCCATAGGGTCACGAAGGGGTGATCTTGATTCAGCGCTCTAGAACCTGAAGCAGTGCGACGTGCCAAGCCTAAGCGACAAATCAGATTCCCAGGCTGTTTCCTCTAACCCCAGGAAGCCCTGAACCTTTGACCCTGAAACTGAATGCATCCTGCTTATCCTCTGTCCCTAGAGGATATCAAGCTGCTCTTTTGGATTTCTTCCGGAAGATACGACAGGTACCCTTGAAATGTAAGTTGTCTCTCCGTGCAAACTTACGACGGGCCACCATAATGATCGTTTCCTCGTTCCCTACCCCACTGAGCACCAGGTAGTGGCTGGGGAGCGGGGCTTTAAGCTAGCTCCAAGCCACGGAGCATTGCATTCTAGGCGCTAACCCCCAAATCCTCCACACACTCCAAAACCCTATAGTCCCCCTTAGGTAGATAGAATATGGGGTATATGGGGATCTTATTATAATCTACCCAAAGCCATATTCTAGCCCAGTTGAGGATGTGATCCTGCTGCAAGTATGGGGAAGCAAGCGATGGATGCTTTACAATGCCCCGACGAAGCTGCCTTATACCGAGGCTTGGGTCTGGGTTTAGACTAGGATTGAGGGTTTAGGGT